CAGTTCATCAACTTCCTGTGATGTGCCAGGCACTGTGCTCGTGTGTCACATATACTGTCCCTTGTCTTCTTCAGAACCAGCCAACAAGCTTATGGTCCCATGTTATAAACCTTGAGGTCCTGAGAGGTGAAGTAACAATCGCTTGGAGGTCCACAGTCAGTAGTTGGCAGGGCCAGGATTCCCTCCTACATCTACCTGCTTCTGAATCTTGTGCCTGTTCCTCTGTATCTCATCACCTCAAAATAAGCTTTTGAGACCGCCCCCCTGCCTGCTGCCTGTTTAATAACTGACCACTGTAGAATCTCTCGTGAATAATGGAGTCATGTTTTTTTGATCATGAGTGAATTGTTTTGGAAATTAATGGTGAGGAATATGTTTTAAAACTTTTGAATCATATGTGTGTCATATGGCTTTTTGGTTTTCTTTTAGGGCTATCGCAAAGTGATCATTTCAACCAACATCGCTGAAACCTCCATAACCATTACAGGAATAAAATATGTAGTTGACACGGGCATGGTTAAAGCAAAGAAGTATAACCCTGGTGAGAATCGGTAGCTCACGAATGTCTCTTTGTCTCGTGAGCAGCCGTTGCGTTTCCTCTATCCCTCAGTTTCCCCCACGTGAGCATTTCACGTTTGTAGCTAACTCAGATTAAGTGAGATAGTCCAGAAGCCAAGTCCAGAGAGGAGACCTGAGGCAGGTATGCAGGACCCAAAAGGCAAGGCAGGAGGAGGAGCTCAGGCTTATCAGCAAGCCAGGGAACAGGGGCAGGGACCCGGGCAGAGGTCTGGTGGAACCCTGTCAGAAGATGCAGGGCCAGCCTGTTACCAGGCCCGAGGCTCTTGCTAGAAATGATATTGGTGTACGGCTGGTTTGAGCTCCCAGGAAGGAAGCAGATTGCCTAGGCTGGGTAAGGGATGGAGGGGAGACACCAGCTGTTGCCTGAGAATGTGCAGTGGGAAGCTTGCTTGAAGTCAGTTTATTCACGTCTGTTTTATACCTCGCCTTATTCTAGAGGATTGGAGGCAGCTGAAATGATTGCTTCTGGACATTTAACTGAAATGCACTGCCAAGCATTGGAGGGTGCTAACTTTCACATGTGTATCTTTCAGAG